GAAATACTTTATACTGCGACAAAACACAGCAGATAAAAACCTGAAATTTCTTTGCCATATCGACGGACGAAGGCCTAGAACCCAGTTGGTCGCTGGATGGGAAAAGTAAAGTAAAGTAAGTAGAAAGGGTCATAGAGACAATGGATAAAAGGGGTAAGACCAGTATGGTAATTGCTTTTTGGATAATTTCAAAGTTGTTAACCCTATCCGAATGTCGTGTTTTACTATAGATCGTATCCATACGACCTGGGAAACTCTGTGCCACCACTTTCCAAACAGGAAATTTACTCATTAATCCGATCGGTATGACATAAAAAAGTACTGCTTATACTGTGGAAAAAGAAAAAAGGGCAAAAGTAAACTTAACCCCCACCCCCCACTCCTAAAATAAGTCAAAAGTGTTTTCATGCATGACATCACAGCAACTGGCCTCATAGAAAGTGAAGACCTTGGATGTGTGTACTCTGTCAAGTAAATTCCGAATGGGAGACCAAAGTTTACTTTTAATGAAAGAGGTAGGAAAACGTAAGCAGATGTACCTTTTGCCAGCTGTCTAATGATAAATAATTTGATTTGAGGAAAACAAAATCTTGACTACAAAAATACATTCCACCCTGTATCTGTGGCCTTTCTTCACACCATTATGTGTTGAGGACTCACCTGCCACCAAAAGCAATGACTCTGCACTCTGTGCAGTTGAGAGACTTCTTGAGCTCAGAGAGGAACCTGGCATAGTCTGCCATAGCTTGATCCACAGTCAAGAGTCCCAGATAAGGAGACTCGAAACTTTTGTTTCCCATGGGTAAGGACTCCCCATAAAATCTCTGAGGACATTAATCCATGGATGTGAATCCCCTTAAAAGTCATGTCTTTTAAAACTTGTTTACAATAATAATATCTTCAATTAAAAAAATTAGACTAACAAATTGTTTTATTATATAGATCTTAGACAGCAAAGAGTAAGATTTTCTTCACCCAAAATGTGCAAAGAACTATATATTACATTCAAAAGGCCATTGGCCCACATGTGAACAAAAAAGTAAAAGTATGTCATATTAGGATGCCATCTTTCAAAGCATGTTCTTTCGTCAAGAGTAGCCTCATACCGCTACTCTTCGTGGAAATGTCAACATTACAATTTTTCAAGACATGTAATCTTTGCAGCATAAAAAAATTTTTAAAAAGAAATTTACCAGTCATGGTACAGCAAGACGAGTACAGTCAAAATTCTGACTTGCATTGATTTTGAGTTGCTCTTAAAATTATCTTTCACATATATACGTGAGTGTTGATGTCACAGCGATACTTACATGCTCTGGGAAAACCACATAGGCCTCAAACTCTGGAGCAATTTGGTGCACAAATCCAGAGGCTGTCCAAAAGCCTTCAATAGGACCCTCATTTCCAGCATAGAAGAAGATAGGGCCTTTGCCCCTTTTCCAGTTTTTATCTGAAAACAATACAGGGCCGTCAAAGTAATGTGTCAACTCAGAGCCAATTATAACTTTTGTGTTCTTTACTAATTCAGCTATTGTGTGTAGTGATCTAACTGATGGTTGGTGCAGTTTTATCTTAGATCAAATGTAAATTAGCTCCCTGCTGATTTATATATAAATTTGAGCAGCTCTTTTTTCTTTCGGACCAGCTTGGAATGATAAAACCTGATTCATTCTCTGAGGCAAAAGCGTAATCCCTCATTCAAATTATTTCTCTATTATCAGTCAAACCTGTCCAAGAAAACCACTCATTATCCTGGAGAAATGTGGTCATCTCAAACAGATGGTCCTCTGGGAAAGTGTTATTAGATAATAAGTTATGATACAGAAAATAAATG